AGTCCACGCGCTACGGGACACACGTCACTGTTGGCAGATATAACTTTGAAGTAGTGAAGGACTTTGTCTACCTAGGATCCAGCATAAACACCACCAACAACGTCAGCCTGGAGATCAAGCGAAGAATAACTCTTGCCAACAGGTGCTACTTTGGGCTCGGTAGGCAATTGAAAAGCAGAGCCCTCTCTCGACGAACGAAACTCACGCTCTACAAATCTCTCATCATGCCCGTCCTTTTATATGGCGCAGAATCTTGGACGATGTCGAACAAAGATGAGAAGGCTTTGGGGGCTTTCGAGAGAACTATTCTACGCAAAATCTACGGCCCTGTTTTCGTGGATGGCGGATATCGGAGAAGATGGAATGAGGAACTGTATGAGCTTTTTAACGACATGGACATAGTTAAGCGCATAAAAATACAGCGATTGCGTTGGCTTGGACATGTTGTACGCATGGATGACGACTCTCCGGTGAAAAGATCCTTCGACTCCGCACCCATGGGTGGACAACGAAAGCAAGGGCGCCCACGAACGCATTGGAAGGGCCAAGTGCAGAAGGACCTGTCTGCACTCGGGATAACCAACTGGCGCAAATTCGCGCAGGAGAGAAGCAATTGGAAAAGCTTTTTGGTCTCGGCCCAAACCGACAAACGGTTGTAGTGCCAAATAAGAAGAAGAAGAAGAATCCTTTTATTAGATATCTACGTAATTCAAAGTAAATGATACTTACCCGCTTTGTACTGCATAACATTGTGATAATCATCGTCGGTAAAGTGCTTCATGCACATGAAGCTGGTATCCAAATTGAATGGCTTTACTTGCCCGCAGAATTCCACCCACTTTCTCGCCACGGCATCGTTGCGAGGAAAGGAAAGAAGGCTGCATTTAGAGGCACTACCTTGACGGCTGTCGCAATTTAATACACGGCACTTCATTTTATCAGTTTTTACACACTCCTCAACTGAAAAATCACTAAAAAAATTGCAAATTAACACGATTTTAACCGATTTTTCACTAATAATTCTAATTTCTCTATGCAAATTATTTGTAAACAAAAGTTTATTTACGAGTTACCACAACTGTCAAAATCGGCAAAACCGAAGTAGCGGTACCTCTGACGGCGCCACCTTTGTTTCGCTGCACCGTGAGCTCAGTGGTTAACGCTTCTGACTTTGTACATCGATGACTCGCGTTCGATCCCTGCTGAAGTCTAGAAAAAAGAAGTCTGATGAGGAGATGTAGTGATCTCCGAAATAGCTGCTATAACTTCTAGCGCTTAGACTTTGTTGCTTTTTCCATTTTTTCTAATAAAATAATCGTAGTACAAAGCTCAATAAAAATATTAAAATTAAATGTTAATAAGCCACAATAACATTAACAAAAAACGATATCGTTGCACGATCAGAATCTGAATATGCAAGTCCGGTTGTTCTTGTAAAAAAAATAAACGGAAGTGACTGGTTGTGTGTTGATTATCACTAGGGTGGCCAGATGCGCAGATTTAATCAGTACATGTGCTGATTTTTTTCTATTGTACTGATTTTTAAGAGCCCGAAATCAGTACGCAAAATCTATTGATTTTTTGAGTTTGTACTGATTTTGTACTGATTTTTACATTTAATAAATACTTTTGTACATTGGTGTAATTGACATTTGCTTGAGGTTTACATGTTCAAAACAATGGTTTTTGGCAACTCATACATGTGAGCAGATTGAAACCATTATTAAAAAGGTGTCAGCTTGCAATTGTTTCGTTTCCTAGGATTACGCATAATAACAAAGTGTTTGGGTTCAACCCAACCAAACTTCACGATTTGCAGGTTTTACAGGATTTATAGGAAAAGCTGGTTTCGCCATTAATAAATCTTATGAAAGGTGGTGGTGAGTTAATCATATATTAAGTACACTTAGAAGATGACAAGAAGAGATAATGTTTTGATTATAATTTAACATCCACTGTGAAATCGGCTGTCAGTATCTCAAACTTAAGACGACTACTGCTACGGGGCAATGTAAGTTCTAAGAATTTGGAAAAGGTGCAAACTACCGACTCTTGGATATGATATATATAGCTTTGAATGTGAATGTTGTATTTAATAAGCACACCGCCTAAATATGTGTTAAATTTGTAGCTTAAAATATGCAAACAGATTCGGACTCGAGCTCGTCTTCTACTGAAACTGAATGGGCTACAAATTTTTTTTTCTCAATTTTTATAAATTTCCTTGAAAGTTTGAGACTTCAACTCACTTGTCTTTTGTTATAGAATTAATTATATTTTTATAAAAAAATTAAATTAAGTAAGGAAAGAAAACAATTTCAAAACCTGTCAATACTTTTGCTACTACTATTTTCGTGAGCACAGTTGTACATACATACGTAATACCTTTGATTTGTTTTTAAGTAATGAATTTTTATATTGATAATAGTATATGTATTTAAAAGTCTATTCGTTATTTTTTGTTAATTAATGGACTGTTATTTGGTTGTTATATTGTTAATAATAAAAAGAACGCTTAAAAATTAGCTGATTTTTATGGCTTTGTACTGATTTTTGATCCCAACTGTACTCATTATGTCACTATAATATCTGGCCACCCTAATTATCACCGATTGAATCAACTTATGGTAAAGGAGATATTTCCGACTCCCAATATTGAAGAGTGTCTACAACAGGCGACAAAATTTAAATACTTCACAACTTTAGATTTGAATAGCGGATACTACCAAATAGAAATTGAGCCTAACAGCCGTAAGTATACAGCGTTTATAACAGATGGGTTATATGATTTCAAGCGAATGCCTTGCGGCCTTAAGAACGCACCGGTAGTATTTCAACGGTTAATAGCAAAAGTGCAGGAACAAGCAAAGAAGGGAAATATGCAACATTATATGGATGACATACTAATTGGTGCTAACACGTATGCGGAGATGTTTACAAAACTGAAAATAGTACTGGGCGTATTAAAAGAAGCTAATTTAACAGTAAATATCTCAAAATGTGAGTTTCTTAAAACGACGATAGATTTTCTGGGGCACCAAATAACATTCCATGGCGTTACACCTGGTGCAATCAAAACGGCAGGTATAAATAATTACGAAGGACCAACCAATGTGACAGAAATACGAAGATTTTTAGGGCTAAGTGGGTATTTTCGGAAATGTATACCCGGCTATGCAATGATATCTGAACCAATTCGCAAATTACTACGTAAAAAAGAAACTTTTAAATGGGCAGCTAACCTAGAAAACGATTTAATGAACCAAAACGGAAGCTCATCCAGTTTGGGTCGCATATAAAGTTCATTTAGATCATGAAATCCATACGGACGCCAGTTCCGCTGGTTTAGCGGGCGTTTTGTTGCAAAATAATGGCGATGTATTAAAACCTAGAACTTAGAGAATCAAAATGAAACAGACTTCGGCGTGGCATTAAGTTACGTTAAGTTTCGGCTGTTCAATTCTAAGCATCACCCATTTAACAGAATTTTTAAGAGAGAGCCTTACTTTACGTTAGGTTGCCATAATCAGACCATAACACGTAGAAAAGCTTTCACAGCTACGAGTTAGAAGCTCTTGCGATTGTAGAAACGTTGCAACGATTCAGGTATTACATCGACGGTAAGACCCTCAAAGTTGTCACTGATTGCAGTGTTGTGAAGACAGCTATGGAGAAGCGCGAGTTAATCCCGAGAATTTCACGCTGGTGGCTAAGGGTACAAGATTTTGATATAGAAATTGTTCATCGAAAGTGTCCATGAATATAGCATGTAGACGCTCTTAGTAGGTGTCCGAATGAGCATCCTAACGACATGGACGTTGCAACACTACGCGTCGATAAGGTCACGATAACGCAAGACGATTGGTTATACAGCATGCACATCCAAGACGACAGCATAAAGCAGCTATTCGAAAAATTAGAAAATAAGGATAAAGGTATTTTGAAAGATTTTTGTGTGAAGCAAGGCAGACTATTTAAAATCGAAAATGAGAAAATCGTATGGGTGGTTCCTAAGGCGCTACGACACAAAATGGCGCAAGAGTGCCACGACAAAAATGGGCACTTGGGCTTAGAAAAAAATGAAAACGTATTTATGGTTTCCTCGAATGTGGAACTTTTTAAAATCGTATTTAAAGTCATGGGTTGAGTGTGCGCATCAGGGTTGTTGCGAATATTCGCATTCCCATTCGCAACCGCGGAACTTCGGCATACATTTTAACATTCCCATTCGCAATAATCAATGCGGAGCTTTTGCGAATGCGAATATTGTGCAACTGCCCCAAAAAATATATCAAAACACATTGACCTGATCGCATGGAATGGAACAACAAAACGGATTTCACGGCTTATGGTACCGACAGCGGTGAGTCATTAATTGTGACTGCCTGAAACTAGAAAAAGCCAAGCTCCGCTAACTAATAAAAAAAACTAATTACAAGCTGTTCATTACAGTTGAACCTTTTAACCCGAAAAAGCAGCAAAATTACTCTTTCTTAAATACAACATTCCAGTTTTTTTAAGTTAAGTACTAAATAAAAAATATTAAAAATTACTACATTTCCCTTTTTTCACCTAAATCACCTAATGTACTCACCAAAAAATATTTCTTAAAATACAGAGAAAGGTCACATAGACGGACGCTCTAATAAGCGGACACATTCTTGGGAACGAACAATTTTTGGTTTTTTGTTCCATACAAAATGCTCTACCATACACGGACTTTCCGATAAACGGACGCGGACACTCAAAAATGTCACATGCATAATCCAATCCAAAAAAGTAGTGGTTTTTTGACGACGGGGGTCTATGCCCCCAATTCCCCCTCTGGCTACGCGATATCATATTTTGTCAAAAGCTTTACTGAAATCGGTGTATATTACGTTGGTATGAGCATTTTCTCTAAAACCGTTTGAGACATAAGTCGTAAACTCCAATAAATTAGTGATAATAGATTTTCCTTTAGAAAACCCGTGTTGAGATTGTGAAATTGAAGAAGATATAGAATATGTCAGCTGATTAACAATAATTGCTTCGAATGATTTGGGGATAGCGGAGAGCTTCGCTATGCCTCGATAGTTTTCTACAGAAGAACTGCTGCCGTTTTTCTCGGAATATGATCAGGTCCAGGCCTAAATGACGGTTTTAAGGTTTTTAAATAGTGTAAAAGTTCATCGGAAGAAATTACTGGAATAAAAGCTGAGTTAATCGTACAAAGTTCATACGGAAAGTCTCCGTTCGTAGAGGAGTCTACCGAATAATTGGACCTAAAGAACTGAGCAAACATGTTGGCAATGAGTTGGCTGTCGCTAGCCACAGTATTGCGATAGTGCATAGCGAACGGAAATCCATGTGCCATGAATTTACGAAACCATAAAATTATTTGGGATTGTTAATTAAATTCTTTTTAGTTTTACATAAATATGACTTATATTTCTTATTTAATGCAAAGTAGCTATGCCGCAAAACCAAGTACTTTATGTAATCACTGTATAAGCCCGTTCTTTATACGGTTTAAAAGAATGTGACTTTTTATTTTTCAATTTTTTAAGCTCTTTAGTAAACCATAATTGTGTTGGTTCTTCATGGACAATGTTACGTTTTGGTACATACTTTTGAAACAAATTGAAAACAGTATCATTAAAGTGTTCTAGAGGGGGCAGATATTCGATTACCTGTGACTTTGTCACGGTTACTCAAAAGTCACGGATTGCTGCTCTGACAACTTCCAAAAAGTCACCGTGACAGACTGTGACAAAGGAACAGTCGCAATGATGTTTTTGTATGCGATTGCGCCTTCCACAATAACAGTAACAGGTCACAGTCGCTGCTACGAATTGTGAATGTGATAAAGTAGAAGACGCAATTACATATCGGGAAACTGCGACCAGTGATATTAACCTTAAAGAAATTTCCTTATAAAGACAGGTTATCTAAGACTAAAATATTTTGTTTGATATTAGAACTTCACACCATTAAAACGAGAGGGAATGACAAAAAAAACGACAAAAATAGTCAGTGATGCCAAATAAATGAATAATGCCCTTAGTTCACTCGGAAAAACATTTCTGTTTTGAGACTTTGTTGTCACTGTTTTTGTCACAGCTACGGATGAAAATCACTGTGACTGCAAAGTCAGAGTCACAAATAACATTGTTCCTCAAAAGTCACGAGATCGCCCATCTCTAAAGTGTTCAACGCTACGCTCGACGTCATCTCTATACATTGGCCAAGATAACTTTGAAAGTTCTTTGTCAATGTTTCTGAAATTAGCTTTCGCAAAAACATATCTAGTACTTGAACTATACAACTTATTATAATGTATTTCATTTATTATTTCGTAGCTTAACTCAAGAGAGGGATGGTATGCATCCTCTGGCAAAACAAGGGGATCACACCGATTAATAGAGAACTTCGGAACATCATCAACATAAACGAGATCCAAGACCTTTCTAAACTTATTTGGACATGTATTTATTTGTTTTAGGCAAAGGTCAGCCATATCCTCCAGAAATACATTGTAACTATCTCTAGATGAAACTGGTACAACATCGGAGTCAATTATGTTCCAATGATATGTGTGGCAAATTAAAATCACCCGAAACAATCACAGAATCGGAAGGCGTGGGGCATTGCATTTACGGACTCAAACTTACGGCAAAACTTTTTACTGCTTACCCTTATCACACATTCTCTATGGAGGATATTCGTGATACATGTTGGGCCAGCTTCATTCACTAATTGCTGTTACCGCTAACTTAAAGTCGCTGTTTCTTAGTGTTCCGTGTGCAAAACTTTTCAATGCTTGCTATTATCACACCTTCTCAATGATGGTCATTCTTGTCGGACTCATTCATTAAATGCTGTTGTAGAATGTCATTTCCAATAGTTGCTGTTACTCTTACTACAGCCTTATCACCATTATCGTGGCCAAGCGTAATCAGCATTTGAAAACATAATAATGAAGAAAAACACAGGAGCGGATTCAATGATGTCTTGAAGCGAGTTGGGAAATGGAACAAGTTTGTTCTATCCACTAACTATTCCCCTCTATAATATCGAAACGTCCGCGGTTCGATGATTAGGTCTTGTTTAGGCTCCAGGTAAATACGGTGGTCTCGTCGCTGAATAAACTTTGCACTTGCGGAATCGAAATATCTTTGGGATCATTGAAAAAATTCGTCGTCATTAGCTGGTTGTGGCGTAAAGATTCTGAATGGTTGTTTGCGCCCTTAAACGTAGCTTGGCTTACAAATATTCAACTTACATAAACTATTATTTCATTTTTACATTTTCTTTTATTTAGCTTAAGAATAAATGTAAATATTCAAGATTAAATGCTTGTGGTTTTGGTTAAGCTATTTATTGTTTATGGTTTATCGATTTGTAGATTTTTTTAAATTTCAGGCATATATGTAGATTGTAGCAAGTATGAATAGTAACTTTACATAGAAAAAAATTACCGTATATTGCTTTTGTGAATTTTTATACCATCTATTAGTACCGTTGTTCCTAAGTCCTTTTCAATAACTTTCTCTATAAAAATTTTGCTGAACTTGTTTCCCAGTCTTTTATTTCTTTTAAGAAACACCTTTTCGCCAGACTCATATGTTTTAGTATTCTTGTTTTTATTAAATCTCTCTAACGTTTTTTCTTGGGCTAGTTTTAATTTATTTCTTATCGTTTCTAGTATTTCTATTGATGAACTATGGAAAGCGTCAATTGGCTTAAAGTTTATAACAGAATGGATAATATCATTATACTTATGTGTGGCTAATAGCATTAAGTCATTAGTCTCGCTTATTTGTTGTTGTTCCTTGATGCATCGGGCTATTTCCAGCAGTGTGGAGTGGAACCTCTCGACCTGTCCATTACTCTCGCTATGAAGTGTGGGAATAAAAAACTGTTCGATTGAAAAATTATCCCTAAGAAGGCTTTTAATTGGGCTAGAATGGAAAGCTTTTTCATTATCGGACACTATAGTCTTAGTATTTTTAAAAATTAGCAGTATTTCTAGCAATGCGTCTTTTATATCAACGGTGGAACGAGAAGCTATTGGCTTAACAATGGCGTACTTAGAAAACTTGTCAACACAAGTTAAAAAGTGTTGTTTGGCTGTGATAATAATATCAATATGGAGTATTTCTCCAGGGTAATTTGGTATTGGAGTTTTTCCTATCCCAGGATCAAGTGGTTTTCTTTGATATTTGTTTTCCAAACAAATTTTGCAATTCGCGATTAAGGATTTTAACATTTTTCTCATGTTTGGAAAATAATATTCATTCGAGATTTGTTGAGCATTTTCATGCAGGCATCGATGGGCTCGATTATGTTCCGTGGCGATTGCTTCTAGTTGATCACTCTTGTTGATTAAATCAATTACAAGTTTTTCCGTGTGAACGAATTTGACCCCCGGAAAATGCTTTACTATTTCATTTTGAATTTCTGCCAAAACTGTATGTTCACATTGTAAGCCATTTGTGACATTTGGATTGATAACGCCTTTCAGATGGCGCATTAGGTTTTCGACTGTGTCAAAACAAATGATATGACGTCGCAGCTTTTGAAATAAAATTTTAGTTATTTTGCTAAAATGGTCGGATTTAGATATTTGATGACATCACTAGAAGACTCTTCGCTATGAACGGTTTCGATCTCTATTGATTCACCAAAGTTGTGGATGAACTGTCTGGATAGTGCGTCGGCTACTTTATTTTCCTTTCCTGGCATGTAGTGGAATTTCAGTGAAAACTCTTCGATGAAAGACCGCCATCTTTTCATTTTCGTGTTAGGGTTCTTATCAGATATAGCGAAAATAAGGGGCTGATGATCGGTAAAGATGTTAATATTACTAATACCATACAGGTAATGACGCAAGTTTTTCAATGCCCATACTATTGCGAGGAGTTCTCGTTCATTGGTAGCATAATTTTGTTCT